CAAAGTTTAAAAAAAAATAGATCAGCATGTACACAGCAAGTCAGTAATGGCCTTGGCACCAGGGAAGGGAGTCTTATCATTGAAGGAGTACCAGCATTGGCATCCAGAAAAGGAGGCATTTAACATTTATCTTATTTGCATTTTCTTTACTTCTGGTCAGTGTGTCCTTTTCTTTAATAATTAAAGCAGATGTACAATGTAAATTTGATAGGCCACAAACAAGCTGTTTTAGTTACCATAAAATTCAAGTTAACTCATGTATTAGCCAGAATGACTTCCCCATACCTCAATATGTGAAAATTTCTTTCATCAGAGTAAGTGAATGAGTGTGGCTATGTTTAAAATTTTATTATTGGACACTGAAATTTGAATTTCATATAATTTTTATATTGTAGGGTAAGGGAATTAGAGAAAGTGAGGTCCGGAGAAAGAACAAGACCAGTACTTTACAGGAACAGATCACCTTTAATGAGACAAGAAGGGGCAGCAGTCAGATTAGTGAGCTGCTGCACTAACTAACCCAAGAAAAGAGTAAGTATATATAGGCATATATGTGGAAATCTACTGTCTTAAGGGGCCTGTTCTCCAAGGTTGTTCAGATTAGTTATCTCTCTCTTTTTTTTTTTTTTTTTTTTGCGATGGCTCATGGCATTTATTTAACAATCTTTTTACCTAGATATGTCTGTGAGGCTCCCAAACGGAGACAAATAAAGTCAATATATTTCCACTGTGCATTTCTCAAGGATCTTGACTTCTTGGGCCCCTTCAGGGCTCAGGTTCCCAAAACTAGGGAAGTGGGGAGGATTAATTAGCTGGAATGGAGGTGGAGGGGGCCCAGGAATCCCCAGCTGGAAGTAACTCCACCAGCTTCGGTTAGGTTATCTCTTAAATGGCTGGGGCAAGGAATTCTGGAGATTGGCCAGAGGCTGGGACCTGCACATAATCAACCTTAATGTCCATTGTGTTTTTCAGGTGAGAGAGTTCTTTGTTTTTCATAGAATGGTGGGGAGGATCCGGAGGGGAGTTTTAACTCCAGGCTATTTTGAGCCATGTAACTTTCCTTCACTTATGTCACAAAATACTCTACTTTTTTTCAAGCCTCTAAAAGATGGAAATAGTATTCTTAGCTTGCAGACAGTAGTAAAACAAGGGTCAGCAAACAGTGAGCCAGTGTGCTGACCTTGATGTAAAACTTGGATGAGGAAGTTTGTTATTGGAAGTAGATATACAATTGTCACTTAACACTTGCTTTACAATGCAATTATCTCCCTTAGATCAATAAATTAAGTTCTAGAAGTTTGTCACAAGAAAACAAACCTGGTTGCACACAAAATTTTGAAAACAAAGACTGTTATCTTATTCTGGATTATAACAATGAAAAAAACTGGACACATCCAAACATCAAGGAACAGAAGCCTGGCTCAAAAATCTGAGGTCATCCAAAAGATGGAATGCTATGCAGCCATATCAACAATTATTGGATGGTCTGAAATGAGAGAAAGCAAATGCTGTCAAATATTAACATTTGGTGAATCTAAGTAAAGGCTATATGGGCATTCAGTGCCAACTTTCGTGTAGGTTTGAAATTTTAACACAAAGCTGAAAACGTTTTGAAAAAGAAAAAAAGTTTTAAAAAAAGATGGACTCCATAATAAAAAATGTTTTTGTAAAATGTAAGCTAATAAACTTGCACAAACCCATCTCCAGCTCATCAGAACTCTGTGCTCTCCATGTTAAATAAAGATAATAAATGTAACACCTTTTTTTCCACAGGAAAATTGTATACACTAACTCGATAATATTTGTCTACCTACCTACTGTCACTTTTGATCAAACTAAATATAATTGTAACTATATGTAACATGAGATGATTTACCAAAAATCATTTTCTTAACTCACAAAGTTTTCCTTGCAATCATATTGTTCTAAGGGTAAAGAAAAGTTTGACTTACTCAGGTTTTGAGCATTTGAAACAACGCTTGGTTTTAGACAGCAAACCCACAAATTATCTGGGAAGACTTCCCTGATACGGTGGGCGCTCTAGGGCCTGCAGGCGGGAGTATCATTTGGGGATCCAGCATTGGAGTTCTCCTTCAGGCCTGGACTTAACTGAATTAGATGCTATTATTTGAAAATCTAACATAGGAAATAAATCCATTCGGTAATTTGAGCACATAAAAATAAATAAAAAGTTTACACATTTAAATAAAAACATAGGAACTCTTTCTAACTACAAGATAACCTATCTTGGGCAGAGGACTTCAGCAACCCTCCATTTGACGCCCCAATTAAATGACGTGATTAGACACGGTGCGTTATCAACCTCTGCTTGAACCCCAGTCATGGACTGCGGGCTACAGAGCTGGAGTCGTCAAAGGTGCATGTCAGAAAATTTGTCTCCTTTTCAAAACGTTTTTTTAATGCTCACATTTATTTCCATTATTGGAAGTCAAACCCAAGCTTCCCTTGTGAAAAATCAAAATCCAGGGCGATGCAAGGATGTACTTTCCTTTTTACAGACCAAATTCAAAATCTTTTCTTGCCCGACTGCTTCTGAAGCGCTGGACTTTCACATACCAAACTCTCTACTCGCTCTGTGTGTCCCGCCTCCTCCGGAACCCGCCAAATCCCATAAACCCCACCCCCAGCAACAGTGCACTATCCCCATAGGCTTGTTGCGCAGTCCAGGTTCGCACGCTCTGCAGCCTTCAGTAATCAGCGGATTTCGTAAAGCCCCGCCCTTTCCTTCTCTCCGGCGTTTTTTCCCGTTCAGGACCGCCTCACCCCACCTGATTATTTAGTCGGTCAGCGCCCCCGTCGTACGTCATTTACCCGCGCCACCCGGAAGCCACGGTTCTTACTAACAGTTCTTTTTGCCGGCGGCTCTCAGGTAACGGCCGTACTTGGGTGTCCCTGTGTGATGGGGTCCCAGAGCTGGGAGGGGCGGAAGGCTGAACCCTCGGCATAAGCCGGACGACCCAACTCCCAACGCTGAAAAGGTGCAGTTGTACTGTGCTTGAGATCAACCTGAGACCAGTGGTCTTCAACGTGGTCTTCTCCCTACCCATTCCTCAGGAGCCCATCATGGCGACGCCCCCTAAACGGCGGGCGGTGGAGGCAACGGCGGAGAAAGTGCTGCGCTATGAGGCTTTCATCTCTGACGTGCTGCAGCGGGACTTGCAGTAAGTGACAGAACGGGGGGCGGAGCGCTTGGAGCGGTCCACGTGGTGAGCGGGGCGTTCGAAGTCAGGGCCTAGCCTTCTGATTGGTGGGTGAGGCGTTCAGAGCCCGGCCCCGTGCGCCATTCGAGGAGGAAGGAGGGGTGATATCCGGGGTGCAGCGTGGGGTGAGGAGGGAGACATGGTGGTTTAATGGAGCCTGTGTCCGCACATGCGCGGCTTCCGATGCCCCTAAAGGGTTAAGAATTAGAGTTCTGAAGCTGTAGTTAGGTTCAAATCCTGGCTTGAGCACTTTGCTTTCCGTGTGAACACGTACTTCGCCTCCACTTTCTGTGCCTCAGTTACCTCATCTGTGAAACGGGGAAGTTAATGCAACCTTCCTCACGGCGGTGGGTTTGGGTTTTCAGTGTATTCAGTCCTTGTAAAGGGTTTAACTTGGATACTAGAGGCTCAGTGAGTATAAAAAATTGTTACTATCATTATTAATCTGAGCAGGAAGGAGAGTGTTCAGGTCTAGGATTATAAGCATCCTAAAAGAGATGGAGGATTTTTATCTAGGGTGAGAATGGCATATTCTGATTGGAGGGAGGCATTGGGAGTAGAGTGTAATAATAATACTCATAAATAAGAGCTAATGCATATAGAGAACTTTGTTTGGTGGGCACTATTCTAAATGCCTTATAGTAAATACTCATTTAATCCTCCTAATGACTCTATGAAGTAATACTCCTCATTCCTATTTTAAAGATGGGGAAATTGAATTCCAAAGAGGTTACTCACTTGCCAAAGTCACACAGCTAGTAAAATGGAAAGCCTGGATTCAAACCGAAGCAATCTGACCCAGAGTCCAAACCTTGTCTTCAGCACTAAAATTCCTGGTGACAGGAGAGTCTCAGGGGGTCATGATGTGAGATGTTCCAAGAAGGACAGGGTTTCCTCTTGGTCACCATTTTGCTCTTGTCCTGTCATGTCCCATCAGAAAGGTCCTGGACCATCGTGACAAGGTATATGAGCAGCTGGCCAAATACCTTCAACTGAGAAATGTCATTGAGCGACTCCAGGTAAAGATGCCAGGGTTAGGTACTGTCTTTTTGTGAGCAAAGGAGGGAGAAGAGAGGAGATACCCAAGACCAAAACCTGTCACCTGACCTAAAAGTTGACCACTCATCCCTACCTCTTTTTCCCTGGCCCCACAGGAAGCTAATCACTCGGAGTTATATATGCAGGTGGATTTGGGCTGTAACTTCTTCGTTGACACAGTGGTGTGAGTGTCTGCCTGCCCCTCTGAGCCCACAGGGTTCAGCTTCCTTTTTCCTTCATTCAACAAATATTTTTGTTAGTATTTGCTATGAACCAGACACTGCTTGGTGCTGAAGATGTGACAGTAAATAAAATAGGACAAATTCTCTGCCCACCCTGACCTTCAGTTTGGGGAAGGTGGGGGGTGGGGAGTAAAAACAAATATTAAACTGTGTGGTATGCTAAACAGTGATAAGGACTTCTCCACTTCCTATCACCACTGTTTCCTTAGTCCGGACACTTCACGAATCTATGTGGCCCTTGGATATGGTTTTTTCCTGGAGTTGACACTGGCAGAAGCTCTCAAGTTCATTGATCGTAAGAGCAATCTCCTCACAGAGTAAGTCCATTGCCTGAGGATATTGTCTAAAACACCACCATTTGTAACATCCTCCTTCCCCCTTTCACCCTGGCTACCTGGGATGGTACCTAGGAACCACTTACCCCTCTCTCTAGGGGTAATGCAAAGCTTAGCCCCAGGTGTAGCACACAATAAGTACTCAATAAATGGTCTCTGTATTGTTCACTCACACAAAAATTTATTGGGCATTTGCTGTATGCCAGGCTGTGTGCTTGATGTTGGGGAGGCAGCATGAACAAGACAGAAGGATTCCTTGAAAACTTGCATTCTAGAAGGGCTATAACTGTTACACATCAGCACAGTTTTGACCATATCCTGGAGGTCTCAGCCTGTAAATCAGTAACAGTAAAACAAGTTACCTCTGACTTCACCTCTTCCTAATTTTCCTGCTCATTCACTGTGCTCTCATCACACTAACCTTCACAGGCTCTTTAAATGCCCACAGAGTGATCACGCCTCAGCACGATTGCAGTAACTGTTCTCTGTCTGCCTATAGCACTTTCCCCCTGATACCTGCATGGCTTCCTTTCTCCTCATTTCACTTGAAGTCTTGCTTAAATGTCACTTCCTATAACCTAAATTGAAAATTGCAACCCTTGGCACTCCTGATTCCCCTCCCTTGTTCTACTTTTTCTTTTTTCCCTAGCACTTATGACCACCTAATGTTTACTGTGTGATTTACTTTTTTATAATGTTCATTGCCTGCTCCCATTAGGATATAAGCTTTGCAAAGGGAGAGATTTTCTCTACATCTCAAGTCACTAGAATAGCACATAGCATATAGGAGGCACCCTGTATTTGTTGAATGAATTTCAAAGCGTATGCTAGAAATAGATTTAAGTGGAGATTGAAGTATTGGTAGATCTCTGTTGGTGATGGAGGTAGCGTGGGGATAAAGGATGAACTCTGACTGAGTGTAAGGTTCTATGTAGGGAAGGGGAATTGTGATTATGGAGAGACTTCTGAAATGTGGCTAGGGAAGGCCTTTCAGAGGACGCAACATTTGAGTTACTTGGTTGAGTAAACAAACCATAGGGCTCTCTAGGGAAGAGCATTCCTGGAAAGGGGACCAGTGTGCCTGCCATGTTTCAGGAACTGCTGAGAATGGTGAGCATTCAGTCACTCAGATGGAGTGAGTGAGGGAACGCTGAGCAAATACACTTAGATTAACAACATCTCACAAGTGTGAATACTACTGATCTAAAATTCTACCTTATAGGATATATTTCCCTTTATGTCTTATTCATTTCTTCCAGAGCTGCCTACCTTAGGTTTCAGTAATTCTTCTCTTTTCAGACCTTTTCGAGGTTTCAGTGTTCATAAATTCAAATAAGCCTCAGACCTGTGGAGATTTCTAAATCTTAGTGATAAAATCAGTTGGTGAATAGTTTGGTTGAGGGGCCTGCTTTAATAGGCCAGTATAATTCTGAACCAGTAGCCATTTAGAAAAAAAAGTCTGTTTTTTTTTTTTTTCTTAATGACAAAGCCTTCCTTGTTATGTCACTGGATTCCTGAGCCTTTCAAATAGATTTTAATTTTTTGAGACTTGATGTCTTTCCCCAGAATGAGGTATTTGTCTTTGCCTGCCCCCTATTTGGTCTTTCTGATTTATTGATCTGGTCTATTAGTGTGATGAGAAATGTGAATTCCTTACTGTGCTAAGTCACTTCATTTGTGTCTGACTCTGCAACCCCATAGACAGTAGCCCGCCAGGCTCCTCTATCCATGGAATTCACCAGGCAAGAATACCAGAGTGGGTTGCCATGCCCTCCTCCAGGTGATCGTCCTGACCCAGGGATTGAACCCACATCTCTTACATCTCCTACATTGGCAGGCGGGTTCTTTACCACTAGTGCTACCTGGGAAGCCCATGAATCTCTTATTACTTTATTATAATTAGTAGGACTCCCTAGTAATTGAATCTTTCTAGGAGATGAAGATTTGAGTCTGTGGAGCTCATTCTCTTCTTTAAAATGTGTGGTTATTTGAGAAACACTTTAAATAACTTTCCTTCAGGTTATTTTATGTAACCAAAATGGCCTATCAGTACTTCCTGTTTTTAGTCTATTTCTCTGTTTGGGGAGTAGAAAGATCAGGTCTCTGTATATATTCTTTCTGATAACACAGAAAGGAGTACACATCCACACCCATAAGTAGACATGATTACAGAAAAAACAGAATAACTATTTGACTATTAACACAGCCTTACATATTAAATCAGTAGCAATAAATTAAACATATCCCTTTTACAACTAGCATTTGGTGAACTTTATACTTTTCTCTTTTTTTTTTAAGTGCTGAAACCTTTCATAGACTAAGCTTATACACTGAGTGTATACTATGTCCCACATACTTTTTGGTTCCTGTGAATACAGGGGGGAGCAAAGCTGACCAAATCTCTGCCCACGCAGCTTACATTCTATTCAGGGGAGACAAACAATAAACAAATAAGTAAAGGATGTAGTATGTCACAGGTTGACAGTGGTGCAGAAAACAGCAAGGATTGGAGACTAGAAACATTGCCTGGGATGGAGCAGTTGCAATTATAAATAGAATGCTTGATTGGAAGTGGGGTGTGAGAAAAAGGAGTCCAGGTTTTCGGCTGAGCAAAGGATGGAATTGCCCTTTTGTGAGATGGAGAAGATAAGGGGAGAGCAGATTTGGAGAGGAAAATCAGGAGTTCAGTCTGGGACCTGTTAAGTGTGAGGTGATCATTAAACATTGAAGGAAGTTTTCTGAAGATGTAGTTAAAACTCCCAAAGCTGGAATTCAGGAGAGAGGGCTAGACTGAAAATACAACTTTGAAAAAAAAAGAAAATATAACTTTGAGAGATAGTGATATATAAATGGGTTCATACTATTTTTCCCCAATTTAATATCCTTTGTTGTTGCCTTCTGCTTTTCTTAACAGTATTTCATTTCCCTGAAACTGACTCTTACATTGACAGATAGCTCAACACAATAAAATCCATATTCCTCTCATACTATCAAGATTACATGATCTGTCCCCTACCAACCTCTTGGATCCTAACTTGTGCCACTTTTCTTCCACCATTCACTTAGTTTCTAACACTCTGGCCTCCTGACTACTCCTTAAAAAGCTCTTTCCTGCCTTTTGGACTTTTTGTGGAAAAGACTATCCTACTGTTTTATTCATTCTTCAAAGGCCTTCCTTGATCCTTTGGGTGAATTAGGATTCTTTGGGTGAGACTGGTCCCAGTTGGCATAGAGAGAAAAAAGTGACTGGTTCATGTAAATGGCAACCCACTCCAGGATTCTTGTCTGGAGAATTCCATGGACAGAGGAGCCTGGTGAGCCCCAGTCCATGCAGTTGCAAAGAGTCAGACATGACTGAGCAACTGATACTTCCACTTTTTTTCTTTTATGTAACTCAACAGCCCAGAACTGGCATGGTTTCAGCCAACTCCAGCTTCCCAGTCACTTAGGCCTTGGTGTCTTCCTTGAGTTCTCTCATACCCAACACCCTCCTTTGGTAAATCCTGTTGACTTTACCTTTAAAATATATCCCAAATCTAGTCATTTCTCATCACCTCAACTACTGCCACTGTGGTCTGAGTCTGCCTTTCTCACCTGGACTGCCTCCTCACTGGACTTCCTCTTCCACACTAGCTGTCCTTATCCCCAGTTAGTTCTCCACACAGCAGCCAGATGGATCCTCTTAAACCCTAGTCATTTCACATCCCTTCTCTGATCACAATCCTCCTCTGGCTCCCATCTCACTTAGAATAAAAGCCAGAGTCCTTACCATGGCCTGGTAGGTCTTAGATTATCTTTCTCCCCTGCTTACTTCTGTGACCTCACCTTCTACAACCCCCCCTTCACTGATCCTTCTCCAGTCCTGCTGGCCTCTCTGCTGTACCTCAGACATGCCAGGTGCACTCCCACCTCAGAGCCTCTGCATTTGCTGCCCCTTGTGTATTGAACACTCATCCTCCATCTAGCCACACAATTCGCTTCTTCATTTTAAGTCTTTACTCAAACATGCCTCTCCGTGAAGCGATCCCTAAGCACTCTAATTAGAATTACAGCCCCCACTCCTGCACCCGTTATCCTCTCTTAACATCTAATTTTTTCATTGTACTTATAACCATCTGACATATTCCATATTTTATTCCCATTATTTGTCCCCCATAATGAGAATTTGAGTTCCACAAGGCCAAGAGTTTTGTTTGCTGTGTTTGCTGCTATCTCCCAGTACCTAAAACGACCTGGCACTCAATAAATGTCTCTGAATCAGTGCAGTCCAGATGGTAGCCAGGCATCTCTGCATAGGAGCAGGCCAGGTAGTAGGATGTTCTACCACCTACCGTGTGGAAGTCATACAGAATGTAGTTATTTCTTGAAGTGATGAAGAAGCATCATCCTCCTGACCATAAGTGGGGCCCACTTCACCTTTCTTGTTTCTTTTCTCCAGGCTCAGCGACAACCTCACCAAGGACTCCATGAATATCAAGGCCCATATCCACATGTTGCTAGAGGTGAGAGCAGCTCACTCCATTCCTAGACTCTATCTCCAAATGTTTAGGGTGGTGACCTGAGAAGGAGAGAGAGCCAGAGATGGGAAGGACCATATTTTCCTTTAAACTGGAGTCAAACTGGAGCCAGGCTGGCTCAGAGGGAAGAGAGTTCCACACAAGCCTGGGATGGGGCCTGGACCCAGTCTCTGTTCAGCCTCTTATGTTCTCTTTTTCAGGGGCTTAGAGAGCTACAAGGTCTGCAGAATTTCCCAGAGACTCAGCACTGACTTCTTCCTACCTCCCCTGACATTAAAGAGCCTGAATGTCTTTGAGTCACACGGCCCTTCTTTCCCCCCTTAACCCCTACTGTTTGCCAAAGTGCCCTGTTTCTAAAGCACAAAGTACTAAGAGGCCCAGAGATCCGGTCTGTGTGGGACCATTAATGCACCACTGAAGTCCTGCCATTTGACTTCTGTGCCCTCTCTACCGTTGCCTTGGCAACCTGGGCCCCCACCTGACCCTTCCATTTCTTTTCATGTACAGTACTCCGAATTACCAGAGAATGGGCCGATTCATGGTGGAGGTTTGTTCTCCAAAGCAGTTCAGCCTTTCACTCCTGACCAGAAGGTTTACCTTTCTCCTAACACCCCAATTATTCCTCAGGTACCTTAAATTACACTCACGTCCATCTAGGCTCAAGCCTTGGCCTTGCCCCAGCCGCTAAGCAGTTCCAGCTTCCAGCAATGGGTGTAGGGCTGATCCCGCTTTCCCTGGTCTGGTCTCTATTCTAGGTTGAGTCCAGCTTCCGCCAATCCATGCAAAGCCAGGTTCCGCCTGTTTTTAACTGATTGCAGCTCGACCCCGCCCCCGTAGGTATTTAGTTTCCGCCACTCAGCATACACTTTCGTAAGTCTGGCAGCTGCTCCGTTCTAAATTCGTCTTTTCCAGCCAATCATTACACAGTTACCCTGCCCGCCTACGCAGTATCCAGACCTCCTCCCTGCGGGCTGGTATGCCTGTGTACTTCTATACAAGTCTTGCTTCCGCTGAGCTGCGTGGAGTTCGGCACCACCCCCTTGGGGTTTTGGCAGCCGTCTAGAAGTCGCTCGGCAGCCAATCAGCAGAAAGCAGGACCTAATCACCCGTATCCTTGGAGGCTAGATATCTTCCATCAATCCCATATAGGCCAATCCGTGCGAGGCAGGGGCCCCCAAAACCTTGTCAATTGCCCCCAGCCTATCAGTCTGTCTTGAACCAATCAGCGTGAAGCACCGCAGGGCCGAGCTCTCCTCTTCAGAACCCAGGCGGCTATCCGCGTTCCATCAGTTCCCCTCGGGCCAATCACAGCATAGGTCTGTGGAGCAGTGCCCGCCCGCCCAACCCTGGAAGCCGCGCGGTCGATCCACGGTACTTTGGCCAATCAGCGAGCGGCAGGACGCTCGGATCCTCCTTCACGGGCCCACGTGAGCGGTGAAGAAACGCAGGGGCGGCTTCTAGGTGCTGCCGCCGCCGCCACCGTCGCCGCCGCCACCGCCGCCTCTTAGCCCGGGCCTGGGGGGCGGTGGGGCAGCGCATGGAGCCCCCGCCCCCCGGAGCTGCCAACACCGCCGCTGCTCTACGCACAGGTGAGTCCGGGGCCTGGAGGTTGGAGGGCCGGGTCCATGACCCCAAGTATCCTTCCCGCCCCCGCGGGAGGGGGCGGGGGAGATGTGGCTTGGCCCAAGCACTGCTGGTGCTCGGCTCCCCACCGCCGCCACTACGGCTGGTGGACTTGCCTGTGGCATTGTCCCCTCCCATCGCCCCTTGTAGTGGATCTGACCGTGGCCTAACCCCCCTTTCTGTTTTATAATGGATCAGTCTCCGTGTTTGTGTTTTTCCCCACCCCACCTTACAGCAAACTGGTCTGTGGTCTTGCCCCCCCGCCCCACGCTTATAGGGAACCAGTTTCCGGCAGTGTCCAACTCCTTGACCGTAGGTGCATCTGAGTGTTTGTATTTCTCCTGTCCTCAACTTTCAGGGGCCCCTTCTGTGGCCTTGTTTTTCCACCCTTACTGTTCCTGTAGCTAGTTAATCCGTAGCGTTGTACCCACCCCCCCCCAACAGTGAGTTAATCTGTGAACTTGATTCCTACCTCCAGTGCATCAGTTCATGGCTTTTATCACACACACACCACTTTACAGTGGATCCGTCTACATGCTTGTTTTTCACGTGCCCCTGCTTATTAGCCTGTTGCCCTATTCTCCCTTTTTTGTAGACTGTCACTCCAGTCCTTGGGCTTCTTCCTTCTTAAGAGTGGATCAGTTTATTGCGTTTTATCTCCCCATTTTCAGTAGCCCAGTTCATGGCCTTGTCCCCCTTTCCTTTTAATCAGTCTGTGGGATGACTCTCCACTGTTGTGCGGGAGTCAGTGTGCTTTCTTATCTCCTTACTCCTAGTAAATAAGGTGAGCCTTTACACACATACACACCTTTACTGTGGATCTGTTCATTGGCCTTCCTGCCACCCATGTGCTTGCGTTCACACCCTTCCCTTTTGGTATAACATCCTGTGAGTCCAGTGGCTTGTAATTCCTCCAGGAGGGTCAACCTGTGTGCTTTTATTTTCCCCCTCCTTTCGTGGTGGTGGATCAGTACATGGCCTTCCCTGCCACCCTCCCTCCTTCTTAATCGTGGATCAGCCTGTGTGCTTGTTGAACTTAGGTCTTTTTTACCCTAGAACACACTTTCTCATACACACTTTTAACCACTGAAACATCCTACCTCACTCCAGTAAATGAATACATTAGTGATAGTGATATTGCCAATAGAAGCTAACATTTATTGAGCACCTCCTTGTACCAGGCAGATTGCTTTATGTTAATGAGCTCATTTAATCCAACCTTTAAGATAGGTACTGAGGGAAGTTCAGCATAGGGATACCCTACTCACAGGTGACCCAGTAGGTATCAGATTAGACTGCTCCTCAGAACATAGGATAATGTTTTACGCTTTCCTCTCTCACTTCATCTCACCCCACTTGAGGCCCCATTCCTTAAAAACCAAATTAGTTCCCATCTCCACGCTTTGGTTTTTGCTGTTTCCTTAGCTGTCTCCTTTCCACACCTTGTCTCAGGACATATCCACACCCGATCCCAGCAGCTATGTGACCTTAGTGATTTACCACTTTCTCTCTTCTCATGTTTCCTCATTGGTAAAGTGGGGGAATCAGATCTAGAATCCCCTCCAGGGTAAATAAAGAGTGTGTGTGTGCAGTTTATGTCCTATTCTCTTGTGACCCCATGCACTGTAGCCTGCCAGGCTCCACTGTCCATGGAATTTTCCAGGCAAGAATACTGGAGTGGGTTGCCTTGTGAGTTAATAAAACAAGTAACTTCTCAGGCCTTACCTCCTACCTACCCCTAACTCTGTTCCAGCCACAGTGACCTCACTCATCCTCAGAAACACCAGGAGCAATCCAGCCTTGGGGTCTTTGCCTTGGCTATTTTTTCTGCCTGGAACAGTCTACCCCCATCTCTGTGAGATTCCTTTCAGGACTCTGTTCAAATGTCACCTGTCCCCAACCATCTGTACCTGCATACCTAGCAGGACTCAGGCCCCTTTTCTGCTTTATTTGTGTTTTTGCCCTTTATCACTGTCAGGCACTCTGTTTACAGTTTATCTTATTTATTGTCTTTCCCCGTTAAAATGGGAGTCCCATGAGGAATTCTGTCTGTCTGCTTATTCACCGCTAGGTCCCCAACACCTAAAATTCTTATCTAGTGCTTGATAAGAATTTATTGCACAAATGAATGGAGAAAATAACAGTTTCAGACAAATCAGAGTTAGGGACAGATGGAGATGAAGAGGGCATAAGAGAGTAAGTTAAGAGACTAGTTAGTCAGGACTGTTTATTCAACAAACACTTACTGAGCACCAGACATTCTTCTAGGTGCTGGGGATATGAAAGGGAACAAAACAAGCAGAAATTCCTGCCTGTTGTGGAGCAGACATTTACTAAGAGTGCAAACTATATAAATAAGTCAGTCTAATTAGTATGTTAGACAAGTGCTAAGGAGGAAAAGTGAAGAAGGGAAGGTAGGAATAGAGTACCAGGGTGGTTGAAATCTTAGGCACAGGGCAGGCCTCATTTAGAAGGTGATGCTTGAATTAAGGCTTGAAGGAGTTCAGGAAGGGACCCATGATGTGTAAGGGAAGAGTGTACCACGCAGAAGGAACCGCCAGTGCAAAGGCCCTGAGGAGGGATTGTCCCTGGTGTGTTCAAGGGCCATGAAGGAGGCCAGTGTGGCTGGAGCAAAAGTCCTTTACATGTCAGTTCAGTTCAGTTCAGTCGCTCAGTCGCGTCCAACTCTTTGTGACCCCATGAACTGCAGCACGCCAGGCCTCCCTGTCCATCACCAACACCCAGAGTTTACCCAAACTCATGTCCATTGAGTGGGTGATGTCATCCAACCATCTCATCCTCTGTCGTCCCCTTCTCCTCCTGCCCTGTCTTTCCCAGCATCAGGGTCTTTTCAAATGAATCAGCTCTTCGCATCAGGTGGCCAAAGTATTGGAGTTTCAGCTTCAATATCAGTCCTTCCAATGAACACTCAGGATTGATCTCCTTTAGCATGGACTGGTTGGATCTCCTTGCAGTCCAAGGGACTCTCAAGAGTCTTCTCCAACACTGCAGTTCAGAAGCATCAATTCTTCGGCGCTCAGCTTTCTTTATAGTCTCACATCCATACATGACTACTGGAAAAACCATAGCCTTGACTAGATGGACCTTTGTTGACAAAATAATGTCTCTGCTTTTTAATATGCTGTCTAGGTTGGTCATAACTTTCTTTCCAAGGAGTAAGTGTCTTTTAATTTCATGGCTTCAATCACCATCTGCAGTGATGTTGGAGCCAAAAAAAATAAAGTGAGCCACTGTTTCCCCATCTATTTGCCATGAAGTATTGGGACCGGAT